AATCCTCAGTGCCCTGCATGCTCAGTGCCCTGTAAGGCTCAGCAGAGCAGAGACCAGGAAGTGCCTTTTCAGGTCCTGTGGAGGGCAAATCCTGCCTGCAGCAACAGTTGGCAAAGTTCCATTTCTGTGTTGGAGAGCGAGCTGATGAGGCTTAGGATTGAAAAAAATCACCTGGAGTAATGATCCTAATAAAACTCATTTGTGTACATGATTATAAAACACAAGTACAATGAAAGACCATTTAGTCTCAATAACTGATGCGACAAATTATATTTCTAAAACCAAAATATACAGGAGGCATGTTCCCTTTATTTATTTATTTTTGCAATGCTAGGGATTAAACCCAGGGCCTCAACTGTGCTAGACAAGCACTGAACCAATCAGCTATACCCCAACCCAGGTATGCTCTTTCACATATAGGTATAACACACATGGATTATACTTGGGTTTCTGAAGACAACCTGTGATTTTACCATCATTAGACACTCCTCAAACTGTTATACACCAGTAGCAGTCATGTGGCATAGAAGAGAATCATGCATAAAGCAAGCTCCAGCCTCCTCCTAAATACAGAAGGGTGTGTGTCTACCAGTACATAAAGAGTAGGGGTTTTAAGTAAAGGTAGGAGTGCAAGTTTTATCTTGCTTCCTGGAGAGTAGTTTCTGTTAAGTGAGTAAAGCTGGCTTTCCTTCTACTCCTGACCCTTGTACTTTACCATGGACCATATCAGTTTATCCTGCTCAACCCTTAAAGAAWCACCTGTATGCACAGAACTCAAAACCCCACAGGTTGCATGCGGACTCTCCGGCCCTCTTGTATATTGTTCTTTTCCTATTGTGCTTTTTCAGCCTGAGATGAAAATATCTCTGGCCAATGTGAAGAGACAATAGTGCTAAGGAACAACATAACTCATAGGAAAATCTGTAAATGTCTTTCAAAGGAAGGTCTCATTCAGCCATGCTTGCACAACTGACTTTACATAATCTGTTCTACCACTGAGCTACATCCCCAGACCTTTTTATTTTGAGACAGCATCTCATTAAGCTGTCTAGGTTAGTCTCAAACTTGAGACTAATCTAGACAGGGCTAAGGGTCTATCATTGACTTCTAGGTCTGGTCCATTGTTTGTCTGTTTTAAATTCTAGAAGATTTAGGGTTCTAATCTTTGGTGGTTTATTTATTTGTGTTTTTAGAAATAAAACATTACTTCACTGCAGGGCACTTTTTGTGTGTGTTTTGATATAAGAACCTGGACATGGACATGAAGTTCAGATTTTGCTTTCCTGCAGACGGTTGGTTTGCCCTGCCAGGGATCGGGGAGGGCRGGGGAACAACATTTTAGCAGCTTCACTTAGCACATTAATCAGCACAAGGAAAAAACAAGTGTTGAACTTGATTTAATCAGCAGAGTGTAAAGGAAGGAGGACCACTCCAGGTCCAAGCCAGGAGAAGAGGCAGACAAAGCCAAGAAGCAGGGCTGGTCAGGGTCCACTCAGGAGGACAAGGCTCACTGCCAGACATGTGACTGGCTTTACAAAGGAGGCATGACCGCAAGCAAAATGTAAATAAAAACACTGTACTGGGAACCACTTGTGATTAAGAGTGTACTCCCAGAAAGTAAGCTTTCACAGAAGAAAAAAGAATCTAACCGTGGCAAAAAAGAGAAAGACTAACCRCTTCCCTCTCCAGCTAATGGCCACATACACTGCTGATGCAGGCAGGAGAGAAAGCGGAGACAGGGAGACAGACACGGATTGGCCAGTTTGACTCATCTCTGGCCTTTCTCTGTGGCTCTTCCAACATTTTTCAGTGCATGACCTGCTGGTTTTCTGCAGGGTGAGGGGGCACTGTATTCCTTCCTTTAGTATAAATGCAGTACCTGTCATGGGTTAGCCAATCATTAAACCATAGACATTCGAATATGTATGAAAACATCACTCTCTCAAAGATCTCACAGCATGGTCAGAGAAACAGGAGAGAAAACAATTATAACATCATGTGAAGGGCCAGAATGGAGAACGTACAAATTATGAGGGCATCAAAATGCACGCCTACTTTCCCCTCTGGTAAGAGCTGACCTTTGCYCTGAGACTTGAAGGCTGAATGAGAATGATCAGGAAGAAAGAAGGTGAGTAGGACATCTCAGACAGTAGGTGCTATGCGTAGGAAGCCTACACTCAGAACAGGGCAGGGCCAGCTTCTGCCGAAGCTGGGGCCTCAAAGCTCAGGGAACTGGCAGAAAAGAGGCTACCAAGGAGGGTGAGCTGGTGGGCAAGATCTGAGCTGATAGGCAACCATCTCGGCAGTGTAGTAGCCCTTCCTCCCTCAATCCTTAGCCATCCCTCCATGTCTCCAGCACCACACACAGATGCAAGAAGTCTTTCATCCAGAAAACAGTCCTCTATCTGTGTTGCTCCTCAAGTGTTTCTGGAACTCTAAGCAGTGAGCAAGGATGCAAATGGATAAGTACCCTAAATCAAAATATGCAGAGGATATGATAATACTGTGCTGGATGCTGCATTCCTTCCACTTCATCCTCCCAACAACCCAAAGAGGCAGGTGACAGCATTAACTTACAGGCCAGGACTCAGGTTCACAGCCTGAGTGATTCACACTGACAGAGCTGGGATCTGAACCCACTGTCTGGCCTGGAAAAAAGTGGCAAGGCTAAGACAGAGAGGAAACAATAAATGAAAGAGGTAAAAATAAGCAAAATAGGAATGAGGATTATTCTTTGTGGTGAGGGCAGAAAAACATAGACTTCCTGACCATTGAAGGGAGCTAGTTCTGCACAAACTGTATCAGACCTTAAATTCAAGGAAACTGGTACGAACTGGCATAGTACATGAGCACTGCAAGGAGCCATCAAGAGCACCTAATCAATGCCTCTTTTAATGAGAAAACTGAGACCAAAGGGGAAAAATGGCTGTGTCACAGACAACAGAATCCAGGTCTCTCCTCCTCCATACTAATGTTTCTGCAGTCCAGTGGCCACTCAACCTCCTTCTGCTAATAGTACCCTATGCTTCCTCTGAGGAAGCCCTTTGCCTCTTTGAGCCTTCACACTTTGGGCAGGGTCTACCCACATCTCCCAACGAAATCCACAAATACTAATCTCATAAGTGTTAAGAGAGGGTCGCAGTTAGATGTAGGGCTCCACAAAGACATGCAGGGTTAAGAGGAGGGTCTTTCTTTCTCTTCCACTGGAGTTGGCCTGTCTGGGGCTTCCCAGCCATGATTGTCAGGGGAAAAATCTGCATTCTCAGAAAGAAGCAAGAAGGCAGACAAGAAGTGAATATGTTCCTCAGCTTTCTACAACTGCAACAAATACCAAAGATAATTAACTTAGAAAGAGAAAAGGTTTGTTTTGGCTCAGTTTGGGAAGTTTCATGATCTACTGGCCCTGTTGCTTTGGAGMCTGTGATGATGTTACCAATATTTACCAGTGGAGTCCTTGCTTCCCCAAATGCTGAAGTAAAACACCAGAGAAGCATGCTGAGGCAAGTGTAGAGTGGAAACTAAAAGCTTTATTAAAGGACAGCAGAAAAGACTTCTCCCCAGAGGAAGAAGGGGACCTGAAAGGTGGAATTGGTGGAGGGGGAGGTTTTCCTTTTACTTTTCCCACATTCATGTCCTTTGTTTCCCTTTATCCTGCAGTGATAGTCTGCAGGTGGGAAGGCTCAACAGGTGGAGATAAATGGGCTGGAGGAGTAATCTGGGCAGGAAGGGCCTGGGGCGGTTTTTGGATTAGCACTTCCCTGTTTGCTGCGTGCTGTTTCATTAACAGTTCCTTAGGATGGGTTCTGGGCCTTGGGGACATTAACATTTCAATTTCCCCAAGTGCTGCTCTGATTTCCTGGACTCCATTCTCAATAATGGCCTCCATTTTCTTTACTTTACTCTATATTAGACCAATTTACCTAACTACACTAACTACCTATCTTTAAATCTGGGCTTCAGTGAAGCAGCAAACCCACACACTTCATGCCTGAGAAGAGAAAGAGAGGAAGAAGAAGGGGCTGAGGTTCCATTATTCCCTTTAAGAGTACACCATCAATTATCTTGAAGGCCTCTCACTAGGCGGCACCTCCCTACCGCCCCCAGCTGGGGGACCACCCCTTTAACACATGGGCCTTTGAGAGGCATTCCAGTTGCAAACTCTAGCACAGGGGAAACTAGATCTAAGTGGCACTGTTTTAGCCACTGTGTCAGGCTGTGCTTTTTTTTTTTTTAAACCAGACATCCCCCTTTTTCATTCTGCATTTTTCCTCCCAGTCCAKATGCAGCAGGTTCAAATCCCCAGGGTCCACCATTTACAATGTGTGTCATTCCCTGAGCTTGTGTCCCCATCTTTAAAATGGGAATAACATCAACACCTACCTTTTTTGAGTTGTGGAGAGGAAGCACTCACATATTAATATTATTAACTATGTTAGCTTTAATTAGATTGTCACTGGAAACATAGTTTGAGCAACACAGTGACCTAATGTTGACACCACGACATGCTATAGTCCCAAGGTCACGTTTTCAGGATCCCTCTCCTGCAGCGCAAAGCCTTTGGTCTGTGTGCTCGAGGGCTCCATTTCTGCTCGAAGGAACCCACGCAGTCACCGGCTGCCGGCCTCCTCCTCCTCCCGCGGGCGCGGAGCCCACAAGCCCGCGCTCCTCCGGTGCCTGCGGCGGGTGCGCCCAGACTCCCTCCCGGCCCGCCCCCTCYCCTCGCCCGCGGGCCCCGCGTCCACACAGCCTGCTCTGCTCCTGCGGCAGGGTCCTGGGAGGCGGCGGGCGGTCTGCCCCCACGGGTGTAGACCTGGAGCTTGCTAGAGTGGACTCTGCCCGCACCGACCCGCAGCGACCCCGGAAGAGAGAGAGCGCGCGACCCTCCGACCCCTAAGCCGGCTCCAGGCTGCGCGCAGCAGCCAATAGCGCGCTCCTAGGCCGGTGCGTCATGGCGAGATTGGCCAATGAGTGCCSGCCTGGCCGCCGCTTCCGGCCCGCCCACTCGCCTGCGGCCTGAGCAGGTCCGACCCGCTAGCCCAGCCGCGGAGCATCCACTGCGACCCCCGCCCTGGCCGCGCGCCGGCCCAGGTAAGCGCAGCGGCGCCGGGTCGTGGGCACTCGAGTCCCGGCCCCTCGGAGAAAGTCGGGCCGCGGCGACCCCGCATCGGCTRCGTTTGCCTGGACCCTTGAAGGGGAGGGAGGGATGTACCTGTGCTCTTTCCTGCACACCTGGAGGGCGCCGCCCTGTCCCKGCGCGGGGAACTCGGGAATGCCGAGGTGCCAGCCGAGGGGCAGTTTCAGAGGACCCCCCACTCCGGCCTTTGGACTGGAGTGATTTGAGAAAGAGATCGCTGGAGCCTCGCGGTTTTAGAGAATGGAGCTTCTAGGGGCCTGTCTAACCTTCTCCCTGGGCAGCGGTGGGAGCAAATCTGCTTGTGATGGGATTAACTGGGCAGATGGTCAGGGCCCTGCTTCCCGACATATGCTACTGGTGGCAGTGCAGRGGACCACCTGTCGTTTAAGTGCAGGAAATGGGATGAAAGCCAGTCCGACTCAGGGCACCACCTGCCTGGTGGAGCTGGGTGGACCCTGTTCTTCAGGAACAATGAGAGTTCTGTTGCTTCCTCCCACCTTTTTGGACCCTGATATCACTTTTGAGCAGTCTCTGCACTTGGCAACCAGCATCTGTTGCTTCCTCCCACCTTTTTGGACCCTGATATCACTTTTGAGCAGTCTCTGCACTTGGCAACCAGCAACTGCATTGGTAGCCCAGTACGCACCAGGTTAGAGTGTCAATTTAACAAACAAACAAAMAAWAAATAAATAAAKAATAAGCAGGAAACTCTTCAGGAAGGCTCCTAAGGCAGCTTCAGAAGAGGTGAATGCATGGAGATCTTTCTTGTTTTGTGTCCCTTCTTCSATCACTTCTACCCCCAATTGCCTTGGGTACTTTTGGGTTTCTGAAGCGACCTGTGTATAAACTGAGACAGAAAAGCAGATGGCTTTGAGGGTGCAGACTGACTGAAGGTCTAGCTCAAATTCATTTTGTAGTTCTTGGTGAGTTGAAGGCTGCTTCTTGGGTAGATACGCACTCCATCACTCCACTTCTACAAAACAAAGATGCCCCAGGATTTCAGAATGGTAACAATGCTCCAAATACCCTTCAAGGACCCCATGACTCAGGACAGGTTGCCTGGGCATCTCACAGCCAGAAAGTAGCATGTGAGGAGTTGAGGGTGCTAGAAACAATTGACAGAGGTAGAAAGGAGTTGTGGGTGACTAAGGATATTTACCCCATGTCATCTTTAGCTGGTTAGTGACTGCTGTCTGGGTCTCCATTTTGAAGGGAGTTTGTAAACACAACCCCCACTCTTTCTTTTAAGTATTCTTCCATTAACTGCCCAGAAGGTTCAATTATGTCTGGAAGGAAAATTACTGCTTAGTCATTTATCTAAAGGAAAGTGTATCAAACACAAGTCAAAGTCTCTGTTCTTTGAGCTTCACCTGCAGACTCAGTCTGACTTGGCTGGTTGCTTACATGTTGAATTGTGAGCTATCTTTGCAAACAAAATTGTATTAAAATGTCACCATAGAAACTGACATTTTTTTTCCATTTCTCTCTTACCTTTTTATTTATTTTTAAAAATTTTTTATTGGTGCATAATAATTATACACACTGAAACTGACTTTTTTTTTTTTTTTTGGTACTGGGGATTGAGCTCAGGGGTACTCGACCACTGAACCACATCCCCATCCCTGTTTTGTATTTYATTTAGAGACAGGGTCTCACTGAATTGCTTAGTGCCTTGCAGTTATTGAGGCTGGCTTTGAACTCATGATTCTCCTCTCCTGTGTCAGCTTCCCAAGCTKCTGGGATAACAGGCATGTGCCGTGCACGGCTGAAACTGACAGTTTTAAAATAAACTTTTTACCAACATTTTATGATGAAGATTTTCAAATATATAGCCAAATTGAGAGAATTAAACAGTGAATGTCCCYATACCCACATCTTATTCATTATACTGTTGACCCTTTACTTGCTCTATTGCATCTCTGCCCACCAATTGTGACCTTACTATTTATTTATTTACRGTTGCAGGAATTGAACCCATAGGCGCTTAACCACTGAGCCACATCCCCAGCCCTTTTTATTTTTTATTTTGAGACACTGTCTCACTCAGTTGCTGAGATTGGCTTTGAACTTGTGATCCTCCTGCCTCAGCCTCCCGAAACACTGGGAATATAGGCAGGAGCCACTGTGCTCAGCTGTGACTTTACTTTTTAAGTACTTTGCTTTCCTGGAGTAGTTCTGTCTAGGTTCAGGGAGTTGGCGGTCTGTATTGGAGGTAGGTGGAGGTGTTTATCATTAAACGGTTGAACATCCACCCTCTAGAGTGCTGATAAGAAGAAGAGAAGAGGCCCAAGGCTCAGGCCCACTGGAAAGGAACTTGATTTTTTTTTTTTTTTTTTAATGAAATGAGAGAGAAGTGGCAGTTTGTGGTAGTAAATGCCAAGTAATAAAATGATATCAGTAACACTGTTGAGTTCTTGCTGGGCACTGAACGATGTTGATCATCCACGCTGTGCCTGTATGTAATTCTCACAAGGTAAGTAGGTCACTATTCCTTTCTGACTTTTCTGCATTAGCAAATCAAGTTGCAGGCAGGTTAGGTAATTTTTATGGTACTAGAAAGTAATGGAGTGAGGACCYGAATCCTGGCCATCTGGGTGCAGGCAGTTCTGAACACTCTTTTTAGTCATTGTAAAGGTATCAGAGAGAACCTTCCTGCCTGACCAAGGAGGAAGGGTGAGGTGGCCTGGGGCCACCATGGGTTCTGACTCAGGCACCTGGACACCAATACAGTTTTCAGCTGGCTCCAGAGGGCTGGTGTTCGGATTTGTCTGTGTGTCTGGCAGACACTGGTGCCCCTGGGCTTGAGGAGGTCGGCAGTTCTACGGGTCAGCTCTGTCTCCCCAGGCTTGCTCTGTAAGGCTGATCAGTCCCTTTCCTGAGCTCTGCATCTACTTCCTGTCATGGGTGTTTCTAGGAACTTGGCTTCTGTTCTGCCTCCCATTTCCTGTTCCATATCCCCTCTGTGACTTCCTTCTCAACCCTCACTCTTCTTGGAGTTTGTCAGACCCATTGTGTTCCAGAAGAGCCTGTGTTGCCCACGGCAGATGCTCCTGTTTCAGCATGTCCTGTCTCCAGGCATCTCTACAATGGGGGTGCCTCTGGCATGCTGCAGGGGTGAGACAGCAGGGCCCAACCTTGACCACCTAAATAAACCTGTCTCTTGATAGCTCCAGTTTCCAAATCCCATGGGAGGTAAGCTTGTCTTTGGCTTTTCTCTCTCCTGGCCTGAGGACAGTGTTCCCTGGTTGGATCTGGGAGCCACCCAGTCAGACAGGGCCCTTTGTGGTGACTCCCTACTACCCTCAGRCCTCAGCCCCTCACTGCGTGTTTGGCTGCACTGCTCTGGCTCTGTGGCCCTGTGTTAGGAGGAAGTCTGCTCCTCCCGGAAGCTAGAACTCCAGGAATTAACCCCAGGAGCAGCAGCCAAGGGGTGGAGGGACAATCAGTGGCAGATCTTGGCCACCCCAAACAGAGCTCTCTGCTTCCTGGCTGTCTTATTCTGTGCTGCTTTCTTTTGCCATACCCTTCCACCATGATTTCTGTCTCACCTGGGGCCCAGAGCTATGGACATGGCCAACTTCTGAGTGGCCATCACTTCTGAAACCATGAGCCAAAACATCTTTCCTCCTTTAAAAAAAGAAAGAAAGAGAGGAAAGGGGTGGAGAGTGGCAGAAGAAGAAAGGAAGAAAGGGAGGGTAAGAGAGGACCTTTGGGTCCTGGAGTTCCCAGAGTCACCTGGCCCCTACCCATTAGCACTGACCTACACATTGGCAAGTCCAGGCATGGACATGTTAGCTTTCCATGCCACTAGAAAGTGATGGACCCAGGACCTGAATTCTGGCAGAAGAGTAGGAACATAGTGACCTTCTTACCTTGTGAGAACTCAGTCAGACGATACAGGCACAGGACKGATGACGACATTGTTGAGGACCCCGCACAGCTCTGGCTGGGATAGCCAGGCTGTGTGGACGCCCTTCACCAAACCCAGATAGGAGTGTCACAGTGAGAGCAGCTCAGGGAAGGACAGGATTCCACCAAATCTATACACTTCATTTATTCTTTTGAAAGAATATAGTTTCTGAAGAGACTGTAACAGAACTGGAAAGGGACTTGATTTGGGGACGTATGCGCATGGATATTACATATATTTTTTCCTATACTTTTCTGTCTGTTTGAAAAAAAAATCCTCATAATGAAAAGGAAGAAAAGGCAAAGAAAGAAAAAGCYGGTCCACGCTGGAAGCGGGGCTCTGCTTCTGATCTGTGGGGTGAACACCGACTCCTCCCTGTGCCTCTGTGCCATCTGTGGCTCGAGGCCGTCTGGTAGAGGGCTCCTAGGTTCTGCCTGGCCCTGATTTCCCTGGGCTGGCGACCAGGACACTGACACTCTCTCTTTTGCCACTGGTTTTCCTCCAGCCGCCGACACCATGCCCACCTCAGTGCTGTGGGCGGTGGACCTCTTTGGGAGAGTATACACTCTGTCCACGGCCGGCCAGTACTGGGAACTGTGCAAGGATGCCCAGCTGGAGTTCAAGCGGGTCAGCGCGGCCACGCAGTGTTGCTGGGGCATTGCCTGCGACAACCAGGTCTACTTGTATATGTGCGCCAACGATGTCCCCATCCGCTGCCGAGAGGAGGCCTATGAGAATCAGGTAGTGGCCCAGGCAGGGCCGTAGCTAAGGTGGTCGGATTCCTGGGTTATTGGTTAAAATAAAYCAAAGAAGAGACAGAGGCCCTAGCCTCCCTACCAGTCCCCGTATTTGTTTTCTTCATTGTACTTAAAATCCACATATTGGGAGCTGGTRGGGCTGAAGCTCCTGTTTTCTTTGCCAGAACAGACTGGTCTGCAGGAGGGTGGGCTCTAGCAGTGTTGAGAACCACCGGAGCCGGGCTGGCTCGTGCCTTTTATTTCCTTCCTCTTGGAGTACTGTGGCTGCGGCTGTGGGTGGGTTCTCTCCAGTGGGGCCATGCTGATGCACTGACTTTTTTTTTTTTTTTGGTACCTGGGTTTCAACCCAGGGACATTTAACTACTAAGCTACCTCCCAGCCTTTCTTTGTATTTTATTTAGAGGCAGGGTCTCACTGAGTTGCTTAGTGTTTTGTTAAGTTGCTGTGGCTGGCTTTGAACTTGGGATCTTCCTGCCTCGGCCTCCTGAGTTGCTAGGATTACAGGCATGTGCTACCATGCCTGGCCCTCATGCACTGACTTTTTTTGGAGGGTACTGGGGATTGAACTCAGGGGCACTTGGCCACTGAGCCATACCCCCAGCCCTGTTTTGTATTTTATTTAGAGCCAGGGTCTCACTGAGTTGCTTAGTGTTTTGTTAAGTTGCTGTGGCTGGCTTTGAACTTGGGATCTTCCTGCCTCGGCCTCCTGAGTTGCTAGGATTACAGGCATGTGCTACCATGCCTGGCCCTCATGCACTGACTTTTTTTGGAGGGTACTGGGGATTGAACTCAGGGGCACTTGGCCACTGAGCCATACCCCCAGCCCTGTTTTGTATTTTATTTAGAGCCAGGGTCTCACTGAGTTGCTTAGTACCTTGCTGTTGCTGAGACTGGCTTTGAACTCGCAATTCTCCTGTCTCAGCCTCCCCAGCTGCTGGGATGACAGGCATGCGCCACCATGCCCAACTTGACACACTGACTTTTGATAGAGTGGCAGGAGGTCCTTGATTCCCGAGTCCCAGTGCACACCTTTCACTAACCTTCCATGCCAGAGATAAGGTGGGGGGGGTCTGCTGGGGAGGGACCTGTTGGACCTAGAGGGGCCCTGCCCACCTGGGTCTCTCCTGGCAGGCTCCGGCCTAAGGCCATTTCTGTGTCTCTGGCCTCAGCGTTGGAACCCTATGGGTGGCTTCTGCGAGAAGCTCCTGCCGAGTGACCGCTGGCAGTGGAGTGACGTGAGTGGGCTCCAACACCGGCTGCTGGATGGGGTGGCGCTACCCTCGCCACACTGGGAGTGGGAGTCAGACTGGTACGTGGATGAGAATTTTGGAGGGGAACCCACCGAAAAAGGGGTAGGTGAACTCAGTACCCATCGTGGCTGCCCCTGGGGGAGGGATGGTTGGTCCCAGCCTGTCCCCTTAGCGCTTCTCTTCCCAGTGGTGTCTGACCCCTGCTTGTGTGGGGTGTCCTGCTTCAGGTCCTGCTCCCTCCTCTCCCTCCCCACCTTCCCTGGCTCTTCAGATTACTCCCCCCGAGCCTTACAGAGTCCCCACCGTGGCATTTCAGGGGTGGACGTATGCCATTGACTTTCCCGCCACCTACACGAGAGACAAGAAGTGGAATTCGTGCGTGCGGCGACGGAAGTGGATCCGGTACAGGAGATACAAGTCCCGGGACACCTGGGCCAAGGTCCTYCTGACTGGGCATGGTGTGGGCATGGGTTCTGGGGACAGTGACCCCTGGCAGGAGGGTCAAGGAAGCCTCATCTCCAAACCCCTGCCTGTGCACAAGGGGACACCGTGCCCTCCCTGGGTCCTTCCTTGGAGCTGTTTCCAGTTCCAGAACCTCCTGCACCATATATCCCTTCATCTGAGAGATGGCCACGCAGGGAGCTAAGCCAGGCCACAGCCCAGGAGCTCAGAGGACCCCCCCCCAGGCCTCCTCTCCCCCACCAAGGGAGGTACCGGAAGCTTCAGTGCTGTTCTCCTGACCCAAAGGAACCTCTAGCTCAGGGACAGAGGCCTGGCCTCAGCATTCACGGCTGCCAGCCCCGCCCGCTGGCCGCTGGGCTGGGAGAAGCCAGGAGAGTAGGGTATCTGTGGAGGGTTTGCACCTGCAGGGCTGTGTTCTGCCACCAGCCCCAATTCTAGAGAAGAGTCACACAGGTCACTGGGAAGCCAGGGCCAAGACCCCGTGGCATATCTGCCTTTCACGGGGGAGCWGCAGTGCCATTCAGGGATGGCCTAGGCCTGGTGACAGATAGGGCACGGAAGAGGGGACCCAGGGCCAGGGGCCTGCAGTGCTGTGGCTGCCTCCTTCCTGAAGTCGGGCTGTTGTGGGCCAAGCTGAGAATGGAAGTCATGTGCTGGGAGTYAGGGACAGGCAGGGGATGGTGCTGTGTGGGGCCTGCCCAGGTAGTGACAGCCACTGCTTCTCACCTCATTTCAGATCCCCTCAAAGGATGACCCCAAGGAACTCCCTGACCCCTTTAATGACCTCTCTGTCGGCGGGTGGGAGATTACAGAGGAGCCCGTGGGCCGCCTGTCAGTCTGGGCTGTGTCTCTKCAGGGAAAGGTAAGGCTACACCTCTCTGTGTTCTGCATGGGAGGCACCAGGGAGGCCAGCTTGGGGTATGACAGAGGCTCCCTGAGGTGGAGGAACGAGGGATGCCCTTGGAACCTCCCACCTCTGTTCCCTGGAGCTGGGGAAGGCCCCCTTCCTGTGCATCCTGTCTGTGGGTCCCTGCGTCTCACTATTCCCAGAAACCTCTGGTCCCCATCCCATGCCTGGCCCTGGCCTGTCCCCCAAGCCCATCTTGGGCTCAGGTGCCAAAAATGTTGTCTCCTTAGGCAGATTCTGGGCCCCTTGCCAGCGCTTTTGTGGTGCCTCCCACAGTCACTGGGAGCATCACGCCTGGGTGGGTGTGTGGGCAGTTGGGATGGTGGGTGGGTAGGTGGAGAGTGGGCAGTGGATGGACCGTGGGTAGGTGGTAATGTGCAGGCAGATGGATGGTGGGTGGATGAGTGGATGGTAGTTGGACAGATGGATGGTAGGTGGGTAGATGAAAGGATTATGGGTGGGCGGACAGGTAGGTGGTGGGTGGAGGGATGGTGGGTGAATGGATGGATGAGGGGAAGACATGTAGATGGATGGATCATGGTTAGGTAGGTGGATGGATAGGTAGTTGATCGTTAGACAGATAGGTGGTGGGTGTGTGGGTGGATAGATGTTGGGGGACAGATGTTTAGAGAAAGGATCCTTTTCTCAGGGAGTTTGTAAATTAAGCAAAAAAATTAAACTCACCCCAGCAGCAGCAGCATCACAGATGGTCCCGAGCAAAAAGCACCCAACACTTTTATCATTTTCTTTTATCATTTTAGATTATATTTTATGATTGTGCAGTAATTCTTACCACAAATTGACCACAAGTTTCCTGCTGGCTTGGGAACAGTCAAAGCAAAGTATTTTTAGCAGGCTCACCTCTGGGGTCATGTTGGGCCCAGGTTTAGGTTAACCACAGGTGTTTCCTCTGAGCCCCGCTGAATGGTGGTGACGAGAGACCAGGCAGGTGGTGACGAGAGACCAGGCAGGTGGTGACGAGAGACCAGGCAGGGTGAAGGAGCAGGGACCCTGCCCACTTGGATGTAAAGAGGGGGGAGGACAGGGGCCACAGAGCAGTGTTTATGCCTCAGTGGCAGCCACGAGCCAGAGTGGCTGACCACTCCTGTGGTCTRTAAGAGGTGGCACAGGGACCCTGTGCTCCAGGAAGAACTAGGGAGGCAGGTGTACCCTGAAACACTGGTGGTGGAAGGGGACTTCCTAGGCCTTGTCCTGCAGGGTCTGTTGAAAGGCGGGGTGGGCAGGGTTGGGGGATTGGGATCCCCAGTCTGAACACTGCTCTTGGAAGGAGTCACCAGCCTTCCCTGGACCCAGCAGAGGTGTACAGCTTCCTCCAGATGAAGTACACCTAACAGTTTGGACAACATACAGGAGTTGCTCAGTCTTAACTGTTCAGATTAAAGAGCAAAAGAAGTGGGCATTGTAGATTTTGTTTAAACTGAACTCGGGGGTTTTCCTGCTGTCCACTGGGACTCTGGCTTCCCCAGTGTCCTGGGAGCATATCACCACTAGGGGGCACAGGACACCCAGGCCAGCTGCACGCCTGAGGCTGGATGGTASGGGGTGCCGGGTAGAGGGTTCTCACAGGCAGATGAACAGAACAGGCCCATCCCCCAGGGCCACTGAAATCCAGGGTTTACAAATTTTTTCACCACATTGGGATCATTAACTTCACCGGCAGTGAAGGGTTGGGAGGGAAATATATACCATCAGATATGTGGGCACACGAGAGATCCCCGTGTGCCACCTGTGTGAGTGTGCCGAGATGCTGATGCGAGTGCCCTGCTCTGYGTTTCCAGGTGTGGTACCGAGAGGATGTCAGCCACTCCAACCCGGAAGGCTCCTGGTGGTCCCTGGTGGACACCCCTGGGGAGGTGGTCCAGATCAGCTGTGGGCCCCATGACCTCCTGTGGGCCACCCTCTGGGAGGGGCAGGCCCTGGTCCGGGAAGGAATCAACAGGAACAACCCCAAAGGTGGGTAGCTCAGGACTGGCCCTATGCCCCAAAATGGGAAGTGGGGTGAGGGCGCTTAATCCCCAGCGTTTTGGCTGATGGAAGTGCCTGGGGTTTCTTTTGGGGTTGATAGGAAGTTTCTGGTCCATAGTGGAGCCTCCTGGGTCTGAAAATGGGATCATGCACATCTCCGTGGGCGTCGGCGTGGTCTGGGCTGTCACTAAAGACCGGAAAGTAAGATGGGGAATGCTTCGGGCTGGGGGTGCCATTTCATGTTGAAGGTCAGGATGGTTCAAGCCCTTGAGCATAAATCTAGCATCAGCCAAGCACTGTGAACATTTTTGCTGTTGAAATTGGTGCATCCTGAGATGTTCCTCCATCTCTCCCCTCGCCCACGGGGGATATTGCGATGCGGAACAACTACATGTATCACTTCAGGGGCCCAGCATTTCAAATAACCAGAAGCGGATCTGCCAGAGCCCCGTGAGCTGGATGCCTGGCCTTTCCTATCCAGTGCTTTTATTTGTATTTTATCAGTGGCAAGCCCAGTAAGGTTAGCCAGTTTCAGATTACTTTCATGATTTCTTTCCAACCACACATCAAGGGGAATCCCTAGCACCCAGGAGTTTGGTGGCCCTCACATCTGAGYCAAGGGCCCCCAATCCTCAGATTACGCCCAGCCTGAAAAAGTATAGCACTGTCCCCCGAGCATGTCCCAAGCACCCCACTTTCTACAGATCATGACTTCCAAGACCTTCTTACAGCAGCACATTGTCCCCTTTAGAGTAAAAACAAGCAAAAATTTCATTTACATCAGAGTTTGTTCAGTCTTCAGACAAATATTTGACTGTTCATTTTCTTTGGGTCTTTAAGAGACATTTTAGATATTCTAGTGTAGTTTTTTTTTTTCTTTTGGCTGCTCTTGCTGTGTTGCCTGGGCTCAAGCCGTCCTCCTGCCCTAGCCTCCCTTCCAGGTAGCTGGCACGACAGGTGCATCCTATTGCAGCCGATTCGCCAGAAATTTTTGTAAGAGGGGTTTGAGGGTCTTTTTATGTAACCCTTCCCCTCCCCACCTCAGGAATTCTAGAACATGTGAGCGCTACTAGATCAAGATCCAGTGGGTCTGAGACTGATGGGGGCCCGTACAGGCCACCATCCATAGTGGGTGAGAACAGCCCTGGGGGACAGCTGGTCCAGGGTAGGGGTTGAGGATGACCACCAGGTGAGCTGTGGGGCCAGGTAGGCCTGTGGGAATTCAGTTCAATTTTGTAGCCATATATACGTGTGTATGTGTGTGTGTGTGTGTGTGTGTGTATGTGTGTATATATATATATATATATATATATATATATATATATTTTAAAGAGAGAGAGAGAGAGAATTTTTAATATTTATTTTTTAGTTTTCGGCAGACACAACATCTTTGTTTGTATGTGGTGCTGAGGATCGAACCTGGGCCGCATGCATGCCAGGCGAGTGTGCTACCGCTTGAGCCACATCCCCAGCCCAATATATATTTTTTGAGGGGGTATTGGGGATTGAACTCAGGGGCACTCAATCACTGAGCCACATCCCCAGCCCTGTTTTGTATTTTATTTAGAGACAGGGTCTCTCTGAGTTGCTTAGTGCCTCGCTGTTGCTGAGGCTGGCTTTGAACTCGTGATCCTCCTGTCTCGGCCCCCTGAGCTGTTGGGATTACAGGCCTGCGCCACCGTGCCTAGCCTCAACTGTGTATATTTTTACAAGTCAACATGAAAAAAGTTAACATTAAAGAGACTCTGTTATATAACAGTAAAAGTAGACCCCAAATAGGGTATTTATTCTAAAAATGAATTTATGAAGAATTAGTTTTCCTAAAAGACCTTTTCCGCATGTTAGGGCAGAGAATAGGTGAGAAGCTTCAGGACAGGGGAAGCAGAGGTCAGGTAGGATGGTGCCSAGAGCAGGGACACAGGGCAGGATGGGGGAGGATAGACGTGCATCAGCGTCTCCTTTCTCACCGTGTGCCCTGCTCATTTAGAGCCCTGAGCCAAAGGTCAGATGATTCACTTGTTCTTCCTGAGCCTTAGGAAAAGCCCTCTGCTCCATGTCCTCCAGGGAGGCTATTTATTTTGGACTTTTCCAGGTATGGTTCCGAAGGGGTGTCAACTCTCACAATCCCTGTGGCACCAGCTGGATCGAGATGGTTGGCGAGATGGTCATGGTGAACGTGGGGCTCAATGACCAGGTGTGCTCATGGCCCCCGGGTCCCCCCACCCTTCCTGCCCCACATCTCACATCCTTTTCACTTACGGGCTCCTCACGCTTGATGCAGTGAGTCTCCGCCTTGGACGGTCCCAGGGACTGGCTCCCTCAGGGTTCTGGAGTCTCTACTTGTCCTGGAGTTACTTTCCTAAGGACCCTCAGATCAGTGAGCCTGGATCTGCTGGGGGGTGTGTGTGTGTTTGTGTGTGTGTGTGTGTGTGTGTGTGTGACCCAGAGACTGGAAGGTGTCATTTAAAGATATTTGGGGGATCAGGTGGATGGACACAAAGCAGGGTTGGAATGGACCTCCAACTTTAACTCTGGACCCTGCTTCTCATGAGTGTCGTCCGTATCAGCTGACAGTGTGGCCTCCTTATTAACAATTAGGTTTGGGTACTTTTTAAGATTCAAAGGGCACAGCTCCTTGTTGTGAGGTGATTGCCCCTGCCCCCACCCCTAAGAACATGGAAGTTCTCTTGGGGATCAGCTTCCCACCAGAGGCCTGAAGATAGTGTCATAGGCGGACCTTGCACCCCAGCACAGCCCCACTGTCTGTGGACCTTGTCACTCGAAGCTCCCAAAGCTCCTGGTCTGCCTAAAGTCAAGGAGCCAGGACTGGGGCCCTGCGTCCCCTGAGCTTGCTGCTGAGCTCAGCCCGCCTCACCCCTGCAGGGCTCCTCTTACACACTGGATTTTTGCACACCCCACCCCACCGACCTCCCCATCCCTAACACACATGCACACACCCGCTGCACGCCTTGGGGAGGCGCAGCTCCTGCCTGCATTTGCAGGTGTGTGCTTCCTTGGCTACCTGTCCTCCCCCGCACACCCCCAGTCTACACCAGACTCCTCTGAGCAGCATCTCTGTTCCAGGTCTGGGGCATCAGCTGTGAGGACCGAGCTGTGTACTTCCGGCAGGGCGTCACCCCCAGTGAGCTCAGTGGGAAGACATGGAAGGCTATTGTTGCCACCCGAGAGTGTGACCGGTCCCACTCTGGCAGCTCGTCAAGCCTCCTCAGGTGACCCAGGGGTGGTAGGGCATAGAAGTCAAACAAAGAATGACCACATGACCCAGTCAATTCACTCTTAGTTTTATAGCTAAAAAATTGAAAACAAGTGTTGAAGCAAAAGTTTGTACAGGAATGTTTATGGAAGTATTAGTCACAGTGACCAAAAGATGGAACTAGCCCAACAACCAGCAGTGATTGGGCAATGAAAGAAATGGCGATCTGACACATGGCACCACAGGCATGAACATTGAAAACATGGTCCTCAGTGAAAGAAGCCAGACACGAAAGGCCACACGTTGGTCCCTTGGTTCAATGTATATGAAATGTCCAGAACAGGCAATTCCATAATGATAACACGTTAGCCAGAGGAGTTGTGGGTAGAGGGAACGGAGGATGGAGTGACTGCCTCGTGGGAACAGAGTGTCCATTTGGGCAATGAGAAAGTTCTGGAACTCAGAAGAGATGAGGTTGTACAACATTGTCAGTCCACTAAGTGCCACTGAATTGAATGCTTTAAAATGGTGTGTTTTACACAGTGAAAAAGATCCTCATCCCAAATCTCCACCCCCAGGCACACTGAAGTGATTGATCTGGGGGGAGGCCCAGGTGTCTCAGCTCCCTGGGAAATGGATTGTGCAGAGGAAGAGACAGGAGTTCAGGRAGGTTGTGACTCCTGAGGTCTCTCAGGTGGTCATGGTGGGATAGCACCCCCCAYGATGGAATGATGATCTCCCCTGCTCTGTCCCCAGTGCTGGCTGCTTCTTTGGTGATGAAGTGAGGGCCAGTAGTGACTCTGCATCCCACGACACTGACGTTTCTTCAGAAGTCGAGAGACGGGACCCCGAGCAGCCTCTCCCTAAGGAGCCTTTGGACAATCCCCAGAACCCCAATGAGAGCTCAGCCTTGGACCCCGGGGCCAGCAGGACTGCAGAGTGTGATGTGGAGGATGCCTGCCCAGTGGTGGGCAGAGGGGAGCCCACTCAGGCCCCTGGTCCCAGTGGGCGTCCAGCTGAGCTGCCCTGGACTAACATTGACCTGAAGGAGCCCAAGAAGGCTCCTAACCACTCAGCTGCTGGCCTCCCTGAATCCACGGGCCTCGCCTCCCTGGGGCTCTTCACCCTGGGCTTGGAGGAGCCCTATGGGGCCGATGACCACCTGCTGTGGGCCTGGGTGTCAGGAGGTGGCTGTGCAGTGGAGGCAGGCTCCGTGCTCAAGTGGTTCACTGTCCAGTCTGGTAAGGGGCTCTGTGGGTTCGGTAGGACCTGGCATCCCAGGAGGTACACCTGAGGGGAGTGGGCCATGGATGAATCGGGGCTGGAGCAGGCTCATCGTCCTGCCTGAATGCCCAGGTCTCAGCAGTGCTGACCGAGCCCTTGGGTCAGTTTGTGGCCATCAGAGATCCACTGGGGAGACCAGGGGAAGGAAGCCAGCAGCCAGACTTCCCTGCCCTCTCCCAGTCCTCTCCCAGCCCTGGCTGGGGACAATAACTTGCTCATGAGAGYAAATGGTGGGAGGAAGGCTCACAGGACATTCTACAGAGACTGGAGCTTTCTAGCAAGGAAGGGCTGATTGGGGGGTTGGGGGAGCAACCCTGGCCTCCTGCCTGCCTCGCTGTGGGCAGGGTGACACTGCGGCCTCCTGCAGGCCTGTCTCCCTCAGTGCAGACGCTGTCCCTGTCCATCACGCCAGCACAAACCGCCGCCTGGAGGAAGCAGATCTTCCAGCAGCTCACAGAAAGGACCAAGCGGGAGCTGGAGAACTTCCGGCATTACGAGCAGGCCGTGGAACAGGTGGGCGCCCGGCTGTCCCCAGTGCTGCCTTCTCAACAGGCTTTTGTTGAGTCTCACCCCTGAGGTGGGGCAGAGGAGCATCAGTGGCTCTGTCCGTGCCATTGCGGACACATAGCCTGGCTTCCAGGCCCCAGGATAGATCAAAGATCAGGAGATGAGGTCCTTTATTCACCCATCCTGAAGGACTTTCTGTTGGGGCCTCGCTGCCTTCAGGGCACTGTGTGGGTCCTGGGGCCCAGAGATGCAGGACCTCAGGAGGGAGCAGGGGGAGGTGAGAAGTAAATCCTCGCATTCTGCCCCAGAACTCCAAGTGCCCGAGGGTCTTATGTTTTGTTGAAATGAGTCTGGAGAGAGCTGCAGGCACCATACCCTGCTCAATGGGGCCCGCCTGGCATGGCTCATGCACCCCCGAGGCAGAGCAGCGCCCTGCAAGGCCCAGAGACRGGCTGAGGAGGGAGGAACCTGGCTGCTGGAGGCCGGCCAGGGCTCATCTTGTGCAGAAGCTTCCAGTCTGCATTCAAATCTGGGCCTCAGCTCAGGGCAAGCCATGTTTACATCCCAGGTTTGACTCCCTGACACCGGCTCAGATCCTCCCTGAGCCCCAGTTTCCTCATCCAGAAYGTGGTCTAACAGTGCCCGTCCCACTGGCTATGTGAAAACTAGGGCTCATACAGAGGCAGCTCAGATGGGGTCCAGTGCCTCATCGTGACTTGTCACCGATGGGAAGAGGGCCAGCTGGGAGGGTGGGGGCTGGGAGCACTGGGAAGGAGCCCCTCATCACCGGAACAGAGACTGGGACCCAAGATAGCTCAGGGGTTTTGGGAGYAGGGAGCCCACACAGGCCAGGGGYCTGCRGGCCTGCCTGTGATGGTGTCCCTACTGTCCTGGATGCCCATGTGACAGTCAGTATGGGTGAAGACCGGGGCCCTGCAGTGGTGGTGTGACTGGAAGCCCCACAAGTGGGTGGACGTCCGCGTGGCCCTGGAGCAGTTCACGGGGCATGACGGGGCTCGAGACAGCATCCTCTTCATCTACTACGTGGTCCATGAGGAGAAGAAGGTAACGGCAGTGGGCTGGGGCGGCATCATAAAGGGACAGGGTTTCCCAGAGATGGGTGCAGGGCAGTCCCCGGTGCTCACTCCAGTCTGGCCAGCTCACAGGGTTCTCAGTCTTACTCATGCCAGGGGTAGGCTTGGGTGCCTCTGCATGTATGCGCATGTGCAAGCTCCTAGAGCCACTGCCCTCCCTCCAACAGCCATTTACAGTCAACTAGTTTTTTAACCGAGAAGTGAGGCTAGGGAAGATGAGGTCAGCCGTCCTCCTGACAGCTGGTCAACACCACCTGCAGGCTGGGGCAACACCCAAAAGGATTTCTTTGAAATGTCACTAAGGCCAGGCACAGTGGCCGCTCCTGTAATCCCAGTGACTCTGGAGGCTGAGGCAGGGAGATCACAAGTTCACGGCTAACCTGGGCAACTTAGTGAGATCCTGTCTCAAAAAAATAAAATAGACTGGAATGTAGTTCAGTAGTAGGTCAACCCTGGGGTTCATCCCCTGTACTGGAAAAAAAAAAAAAAGTCACCAAAGCATTTGTTACAAAGTGAAGTTTCAGTACTGGCACCTGCTGGGCCCTGTGGCTGCCATTGAAACCAGCAGGCCCAGGGAAGAGCTCTAGAATGATGGTGGCCCATCCCTGCCCGTGACCACAGTGGAGGTCCCACAGTGGGGGTCCCTTGACCCCAAGGTGACAGCCTTGCCTTGTGCTCCTCTTCCAACAGTACCTTCATGTGTTCCTCAATGAGGTGACAGTGCTGGTCCCAGTGCTCAATGAGGCCAARCACTCCTTTGCCCTATATACTCCTGAGAGGACACGGCAGAGGTGGCCCGTGCGCCTGGCTGCTGCCACCGAGCAGGACATGAATGACTGGGTGAGTGAGTGGGGTCCCACGGGCCAGGGGATAAGGGGCAGGCAGGCCTCCGCCTACCCCAGAGTAACTGGCCATATCCACAACAGCTTGCCCTGCTCAGCCTGTCCTGCTGTGAGAGCCGGAGGGTCCAAGGCCGCCCGTCCCCACAGGCCATCTGGTCCATTACCTGCAAGGGAGACATCTTTGTGAGTGAGCCCAGCCCAGACCTGGAGGCCCATGAGCACCTGCTGCCTTGTGACCAGATGTGAGTGGACCTGGGGCCTGGCCTTGCTCTTCCCCTGAGCACCCAGAACTTGTGGCTCCAGAAGTAGGGGTCAGGAAGACCTGGAGCCCATGCAGGGCCAGTCAGAGCCGTGGCTGGTCCCCAGATCCCCACCCTGCCAGGCATTCAAGTATGGGCTCAGCACAGGTCAGTGCCACCCACTAGGCAGTCACAGAATGTCYCAGGGAACATGGAGTGAGGTGACCAGGTTTAGCTTGCACTCTGCAGGGGCTCCCAGGCTAGAGAAGCCAGACCCACCAGCCAGCGCACAGACCCTGGGTGCTCRGCCACCTCTAGCTCCTGCTGAGCCCCTGCACCCAGGCTGTGGAGGCAAAGGAGGGAGAATAATGGGTGGTCCTGGGGTAGAGCTGGGAAGTTGGGCAGTCAGGTGTGGGGCAGCTGGTGGTGTGCGGGAAGACGTGGGGCTTAGTGGCTGGGAGGCCTGGAGCAGGCTCAAGCTGGCTCAGGATGGCTCTTTGGGGGCATTTAAAGCCACAAAAGGGAATGAGGTCACTGAGTGCCATGGTGTGAACTGAGTCCTGAGAGGAATCAGTAGGGGACACTTCCTGATCAGGCTCTGGGCTCAGTTACTGCGGGTCACAGGGAGCCTGGAAACCCCTGCCATGGATGGGGGGATCCTGTATGCTCACTGAAGCCATGTGTGCCCCACACCTTCTAATGACAGGGATGTGGCCTCAGGCTGCAGGAAGCTGACCCAGCTGCTGGTCTTGCTATTGCCCCTGCAGATGGTTAGGCGTTCCTGTCCTCTGCCATGACCTCAAGCCTGGCCACAGCCCCTCCCCATGCCCCAGCCTGCAGGTGGTGTCCACCCTGATCAGTTCAGCCCAAAGGTTGGAGGACAAGCCCCTGCCCGGAGTTTCTCGGCCCTCTTTAGTGTTGGTTAACACAAAAGGGGAGGCCAAGTGCGTTATCAGTTCTGCTGGACGCAGGACTTGGAGAATACCTTGTCCACAAGAGGCCAAAAGACAAGGCCCAGGATACGTGGAAGGATGAACTGGACTGAGATGCCTTTTCGGCCCTCCAGGTTCTGGAGGCAGATGGGAGGCCACCTGCGGGTGGTGGAGGCCAACAGCCGTGGCGTGGTGTGGGGCATCGGCTATGACCACACAGCCTGGGTGTACACAGGTGGCTACGGTGGAGGCTGCTTCCAAGGTGAGGCGGCTTGAGCACCTGTGGCTGGCAGGACCAGCTCCCGGGCCCTCCTCCGAGCCTCTCCAGGTGTTCCCTCCTCTAATCCCCTCTGGCTTCCCTGTTGGTGCCAGGGCTGCTGTCCCAGTACTGACACTTGGCTAAGAGCTGGCTGACAGGTGACCTTCACCACTGCCAGCCTCCATAGAGGATAGTTCAGGCCAAGCCACGAGGCATGAGAGTCAGAAGACCAGGCCTCGCCTCCAAGACACCCTCCAAGAATGAGCGGAGGGTCTTGAAGGTTCTAGAGGCAGCTGCCAGACCTCTAACATGTTCAGCCCCTCACGTCACAGGCGAGACCTCAGGGTGCGCCAGGGCAGCTCCAGGACCCAGGCTCCTGGTGGCCCAAACTCTGAGTCCTGGTCGGCCTGTGGAAAGTGGAGGCAGAAACAAATATGGAAACAGAATATTCCACGCCACAGCCCTCCACGCCACAGCCCTCCACGCCACAGCCCTCCATGCCACAGCCCTTGTGCTGTGGACAGAGTATGAGGTGGGGTGTGGGAGGGGTGTGCTCTGGAGGTTCTTCTCTTTGAGGCTGTGCAACCCCAGAATAATCATGTCCCAGACGAGACACCCAAGCCAGACAGGCCCTGGGAGGCTCACTCAGCAGCCTGCTGACCCTCTCAGCTGCCTGGGTCCACCCCCCTCCCCACCTTATCTCTGAGTGCCTTTTGGAGCTTCAGAGGGAAATCCAGGCTTCCAGGCAGGCTGGGGCCTCAGGACCATGGGGCCTCCTCTCTCCCCAGGCCTGGCCAGCAGCACCAGCAACATCTACACACAGTCGGACGTGAAGAGTGTCTACATCTACGAGAACCAGCGCTGGAATCCCGTCACGGGCTACACCAGCAGGTGAGTGGCACCAAGGCACCCTGCCTGGGCCAGGTCCTAGTTCTGACAAAACTGGACGGCCATGTCCAATATGGCCTCAAGCTGCGTCAGGTCCCCTACGTAGAATTAACTGAACATTACTGCTTGTAGAGGGCACTTCTCTCGGTGTACTGGATATTAAAACTCATTATTGAAGGGTATAACATTGGGCTGGAGTTGTGGCTCAGCGGTAGAGCTCTTGCCCTGGGTTCGATCCTCAGCACCACATAAAAATAAATAAACAAAATAAAGGTATTGTGTCCAACTATAACTAAAAAATAAAATACTTAAAGGATATAACATTAAAAGTTCGCAAAACATATGTATGTATTACATAGCATATGCATCTCTCACTGGGCATCCCACCTCCAACATCAGGTCAAGAGGAGAACACAGCCAAGTCTCACCCAGCCCCCATCATCCCTTGTCCCTCTTTGCCAAACCGAAGATCCTAACTTCTAACAAGATGGTGGTCTTACTTGGGTGTTGGGATAGGTGGAGGTAGTGAAGGAATAACTCTTCTTTCCAGAATTTGCTCTGTTAGTGGCAACTTTTGTTTTAGGGGGAGTGGTTACTGGGGATTGAGCTCAGGGGCACTTGGCCACTGAGCCACATCCCTGGCCCTATTTTGTATTTTATTTAGAGACAGGGTCTCACTGAGTTGCTTAGCACCTCGCTGTTGCCGAGGCTGGCTTTGAACACGTGATCCTCCTGCCTCAGCCTCCTGAGCCACTTGGATTACAGGCATGTACCACTGTGCCTGGCTTAGCTGTGGTTTTTGATGTTTAAGTGCACATAATCTAGTCAGTCTTTTCCTTTATATTAAGTTAGAGTCTTTAAGAAAATCCTGTAGACAAGTCGTATAACCTGAGGTCACAACCACTCATCTCTGTGGTGGTCATGTCAAAGCAGCCACAGGTAGCATGTCCCTGGAGGAGCACCAGAGTTCCATCAAACTCACACACAGATGCCGAAATTTGAACTGCGTAACATTTCCACCTATTACAAAATGTGGTTTTTCTCTTAATCCTTTTCAACCACTTAAAAATGTGAAAATGTAAAAGTCAGCCTCAGCTTGGAGGCAGGTCCAGAGTGGGCAGTGTGCCTGGTTGGGCCCTGGGTCCTCATATGTTGACCCCATTCTATAGGCTCTCTTCCTCAGCCTGGGGAGTTGGGGAACTGTTATATATTCTATAGAGCGTGAGGTCGCATTGGTTTGGTTTGGTTTCCATTTATTCATGTTTGATTTAATAAAGTTTTATTTTCCCAAATGTTCAGTTGCTGTGACATCTTTGAACCTCTTTTTTCCCCTTGCAGTACTAGGGATTGAACCCAGGGCTCTCTACTGTGAGCTACAACCCCAGCCCTTTATTCATTTTTATTTTTTATTTTGAGCCGATGTCTCACAAAGCTGCCCAGGTTGGACTTGAACTTGCAGTCCTCCTGCCTCAGCCTCCTGGGTTGCTAGATCACAGGTGTGGCCATCATATTCCACTTTCTCTGAGCTTCTTAGCAGCTGGGACACCTTCACTCTGGTGCTTCTTGTGTGAACCACTTTAGTGCAAGTGCTTTGAAAGCACTCCGTTAGTCCTTTATTGATGAGCTCCGAGAAGGTCACGCTGGCCAGGGAGCCAGGTCTCCAAGACCACAGTGGGGACACGTGTAGCTTTCAGCTGGGAAATTCCCCCAAGTTTGTCACACAAGACTAGCTGATTAAATCCAGGTGCGGTGGCGCACGCCTGTAATCCCAGTGGCTTAGGAGGCTGAGGCAGGAGGATCACGAGTTCAAAGCCAGCCTCAGCAAAAGTGAGATGCTAAGCAACTCAGTGAGACCATGTTTCTAAATAAAATACAAAATAGGGCTGGGGATGTGGCTCAGTGGTCTAGTGCCCCTGAGTTCAATCTTCAGTACTCCCGGCTCCCCCCTAAAAAGACTAGCTGATTCAGCTGATCCCAAATTTTGCCTTTAGACCACTTCTCTTAGATTTGTTCATAGGGTCTTTGCCTTTCTTTTCTTCTTCTTCTTTCTTTCTTTTTTTTTTTTTTTGGTACCAGGGATTGAACTCAGGGGCACTTGACCACTGAGCCACATCCCCAGCCCTATGTTGTATTTTATTTAGAGACAGGGTCTCCNCCAGGGATTGAACTCAGGGGCACTTGACCACTGAGCCACATCCCCAGCCCTATGTTGTATTTTATTTAGAGACAGGGTCTCCCTGAGTTGCTTAGCTCCTCACCATTGTTAAGGCTGGCTTTGAACTCAGGATCCTCCTGCCTCAGCCTCCGAGCCACTGGGATTACAGGCGTGTGTCACCAYGCCCAGTGGGTGTGTGTCTTAGCTGACTGTCTCGAGAGTGGGAGGTATCATGAATCCTAGAAAGCGGTGATGGCTACTTGCAGCCTTGCCGAGATGTGTTTTTTTCACTTGAAATATTCACTTGAAATAAAACTCTCACTGTTTATTGAGAAATCTGTCCTTTTCCTCCTGGATTATAGGGTGTTTTTGTCTTAGATCAAGTGTCCGCACGCCGCAGCCCCACCCCAAGCCTTTCTCTTCCACCCAGCTATTGGGTGTCCTGGGGCTGATCCTGCATTGACCCAGTTACGGTTCCTCTCAGGAGGTTTTCAGTGTTACTGGGACAATTCCTCTCACTGTCTTCAGTGGTCTTCTGACGATTCTTGAAGCAGTTCTAGATGAACTTGAGAAGTAGCTTGTCCCAGTCCTGGAAAACCCTTGGGGACCTAGAACAGGTGGTCTTGGATCCAAAGATCAGTTTGGGTTCAACAGCTGTCTTATAGTGTAAGTCTCTAAAATGTGAATGGAGGTCACCCTCCATTAATCAAGTACTTCTCCTTATTTTACTTTTTTTAATAGTATTTCATATTTTTGATGCCATTTTAAATGGCGTTTTCAGACTTTTCTATTTCATGGTTTTTCTTTTCATTTTTCTTTTGGCACCAGAGATTGAACTAGGGCCACTCAACCRCTGAGCCACATCCCCAGCCCTATTTTGTATKTTATTTAGAGACAGGGTCTCACTGAGTTGCTTAGCGCCTCACTGTTGCTGAGGCTGGCTTTGAACTCACGGTCCTCCTGCCTCAGCCTCTGAGCTGCTGGGATGATAGGCCTGAGCCACCTCGACGGGCTCCAATTTTGTGGTTTTTACCTGGGCTGGAGTGCAATTGGTTTCCTTTCTGGCTTCTTCAAAGTTGGTGAAATAAATATCAAGCAATATGAGGAACAAGCTGCATGGACCCTCCAATCTCACTGACCAAGGACACTAAACACCACATGCATTTTGGGTTTACCTTCTCACCTCCTTGGGTGCGTGTGGGCCTCTGGGAGGAGAGAAAGACGAGTGCATGAAGGTGGGCTGCGGGGACAGTCCACCCCAGGTGACCCTGCCCATCTCCCCTCCACTCAGCCCTGGACGCAGGACAACCCATGGCACTTTCTGTGTGTAAATATTTGTGTGTCTCCCTGTTATCCCAGTAAACCAGAGGCAGAGCTTTTCTGAGCACTTCCTAGAAACCCAGGGCCCGCACAGCCTGCACTTGGCTCTCCGTTGCACCCCCCCCCCCCCCCCCCCCCCCCCCCCCCCCCCCCCGAGTCCAGGGCTCGCCACTCCCTCATCCAGAGAGAGGGCAGACAGGGCCAAGCAGGCTCCAGCCATGGGCTCTGGGCACTGGGGCCTCACAGCTGTGCCCACACCCGGTCCCTGCGCTACTTGCTACTACCATAGTGCCCTATGGTGGCTGMGTGGCCTGGACAACAGAAATGCATTGTCCTGGGTTCTGGAGGCTGGAGGTCAGCGATCAGGATGTCACAGGGCTGATTCCTTCTCCGGGCAGCAGGGAAGGGTCTTTCCCCTGCCTCTTCGGCCTCGCAGGCAGCCGTCTCCACATCCTCCTCCCTCCGTGTCCACCTGTGTCCTCATTCCCCTTGTTATGAAGATGCGAGTCAGATAGGGCCACCCTAGGGACCTCATCTCAGCCAGATCACATCTGTACTTACTGGGTGTTAGGACTTCCTAGTCTTTTGGGGGACACTATTCAGCCCAGAATACCCAGGAGAGAGAGGCAGCTCCCAGACAGCGCTGTGGCCTCAGTGGGTGGCTTGGTTGTTAAGGCCAGGGCACCATGGCRATGTGCATTGCCCTGGTTGGTCTCCCCACCTGGGCTGGTTCTGTGTTTGCCCCTCACGCCTGGTGAGGGTGCCTGGGGCAGGGATGGGGTGCATGCCTACTTCTGGGRTGTGTGGCAGGCTGGGCCTGTTCCTGGCACTCTCTTCACCTCGCACCCCTTGTCCTGCAGGGGTCTGCCCACCGACCGGTATATGTGGAGTGATGCTACAGGGTTACAGGAATGCACCAAGGCTGGCACAAAGCCCCCGTCCCTGCAGTGGACCTGGGTGAGTCCCAGGCTGTCTGAGGAGAGGCGTCTGCCTGCCCTGCCCTGCCGTGCCTTCCCCAAGTTCCTGGCTGGCTACAGATTTGGGGGTCACTTTCTCACTGACATGCCTCCCCAGGTTTCCGACTGGTATGTGGACTTCAGCATAACGGGAGGCACTGACCAGGARGGGTGGCAGTACGCCAGTGACTTCCCTGCGTGAGTATTTCTCTCTGTCCCGGGCCTCTGAGCATCAGGACCCTGGGCTGTGTGGCCTCTTGTGTCTCSCTTCTGTGCAAGGCTGGCCCTTGCCCCAGCCCTGGTCACCTCAGCTGCTACAGGGCTGGGGCTGGTTGAGAGGAGTAGGCGGGGCCCAGAGGAGCTCTGCCCCACAGCTGGCCCACYTGGCTGCTGAGATTCCTAAACACCTGGCTCCTTCCTGCTGGGTCAGCCAGAAGGTTCTGGAGGACCAGTGGTGGGACCTGCTGGCCTGGGCTGAGGGGCTCCAGGAGGGTGAGGGGCCTTGGGCACCTTAGYAGGGAGTTCTGGGGGACGTTGGGCCATTTTCTGAATGCCAGGTGGTAATGGGGCCAGTGCAGGGGAACATGTCAGGGTGAGGGGGCAGCCTCTTCAAGAGCGAGGCAGGCACCACTCTGGGAGGCCAGGTGTGCCCAGGGTGGTGCAGTAGGAGGATGGAGAAGCAGATGGTGAGCCACAGAGTGGGGGCTGGTGGCCACAGTGTTGAGACCCAGGTGGCTTGTAGAGACCCTCACGTGGAGTCATGTCCAATCCAAGGAAGACCAAACCAGGAGCCAGTCTAGGCCTCGGTGGGTGGCTTCCAAGCAGAACCCAGCTGGGAGGAGGGAGAAGGTCCTGCAGCCAGGCCTGGGACTGACCAGAGCCTTAGGCTGAGGACTCCTCCCTAGAAGGACTCTGATGGGGCCTATTGGGGGAGGGCCCTTCAGCTTGACCCCCTGGAAGGGCACTGCCATCCCTGGCTCCAGGAGGCCCCAAGCCCAGGGTGCAGCGAGACACCCCTGACCCTGCTGCTCATCTGATCCTCTGACTTACACCAAGGCTCTGCCCTGCAGCAGATTGAAAAGAATGTGTGTAGTGTCCTTTTCCAGAACCTTCCATAGGTGTCTTGATTTTTCCCTCCTCTTCTTGCAGCTCATACCATGGGTACAAAACCATGAAGGATTTTGTCAGGAGAAGGTGTTGGGCCAGGTGAGCTAAGCCAGGGGGTGGGGCCCAGCCTTGCTCCTCCTGGGCCAGAGCTGCTGGCCTCTGATCTCAGTCTCCAGGGAAGAAACGGGAACGGGGAGGGAGGAGGAAACACAAAGTAAATGTCAGCCCAGGAAATGCCCGCGGGCTCCCAGCGCTCTGGTTTCTGAAGAGTTTGTTTTCAAGAACAAATAAGAGAAATGTCACTGGCAGGCCCTGCTTGTGGGCAGGAGAGAGTCCTGGCCAAATTGGGGGCAGAAAGGGGTCCACCACAGGCCCCTCACTCCTGCCCACACGGGTGCCCTCCAGGGTCCTGGCCCTGCCCTCCCTGAGCCTGGGAATCTTCCCCCTCCTTCCTCRTGGTGGTCGGTTGTCCATCTTGGCTCTGCTTGCTGGGCCCTCCGGGTGTCTACCTCAGGTGGCCGGGGCAGTGCCAGGCCCTGAGGCTTGCTGTCATGCTGGGCCCCTGAGTTGTGCTCTTTCCCTGGACAGAAAATGCAAGCTGGTGACCAGTGGGCCTTGGCTGGAGGTGGCTCCCATCGCCCTTGGGGACGTGTCTATCATCCCAGAGAGCCCAGAGGCTGAGGGGCACACGCACAGCATTGCCCTGTGGGCCGTCAGTGACAAGGGGGATGTGCTGTGCCGCCTGGGCGTGTCCGAGCTCAACCCCGCGGTGAGCACCTCCTGGCTCCTCCTGGCTGGGCGCCCCGTCCTCCATGTGCTTCCTAAGATCGGCTCTGGCTCTGGAGTCAGGCTGGCTCAGGACTCCCCAGGCCTGCCCAGGACKGTCCCTGTGGATGGAGCCAGTCAATGGGCCCTCTGGGCGGTTGGTGCTGAGGATAAGTTGACATGAGGAGCTGCCATCTTTCAGGGCCTGGGCCAGGGATCAGGGGGACAGGGGCAGGCCCAGGTGACATGGAGGATGTGTGGCATATGCAATCATTTTCCATGCTTGAGGGATGAGAGGCAAACTCCAGGGTCCAACAAGAGGCCAAGATCAGACTGTGGTCAGGGYGAGTCAGGCAGGGCCAGTTCAGGTGTCAAAGCTTCCCTGGACACCCTGTGGTCCCCCAGGTTTCCCACCCCAGGCAGGCTTGGACGCTGGACCTTGCACTGTAGCTGGGCTTGGGGGTACAGGGGCTCCCTGCTTCTGGGAGCCGCTTCAGCTCTCCTCCTCACTGCCCCCAGGGCTCCTCCTGGCTGCACGTTGGCACAGACCAGCCCTTCGCCTCCGTTTCCATTGGGGCCTGCTACCAGGTGTGGGCTGTGGCCAGGGATGGCTCTGCATTCTACAGGGGCTCTGTGTCCCCCTCCCAGCCAGCTGGTGAGTGCCGCCCTCCAGGAGGTCCCCAAGGGCCCAGGCTGGGATGAGGCATYAGAGTAAGGTTCTAGCTCGACTTGATAAGCGCTTAGTGGCACCTCTGGACCAGGCATAGGGGCCAGCTGGGGCCCCACCCACTGTCATAGCTGGTGACAAGGCCACCTCTTTACAGCTATCYCCTTGCCCTGAGCCAGGCCTGTCTGACCCTTGCTGGGTGACCCACTGTGACCACTATAGACTGCTCTTTGCTGGCAATTTGGAAAGTGTCCCCTGGGGGAAGCTGGCACAGGGTAGACAGAGGGGTGGCTTGAGGGGCATACAGCTCCTTCCACCCAGTGGGAGAGTTGAAGGTAGCCACTGTGACCAGCTCTGCTGTGTTTCTGGCTGGGCACCTTTGTGTCTGCCTTGGTAAGGCTGGTCTGTTGGGCCCTCTGTTGAAACCTGCCACACCCCTGGCAAGGCTGGGGTGTGGGGTGGACGGCAGGGCCTGGGCAGCCTTGCTTGGCCCTCAGCCCCCACTAGGCCTCAGCGGCACATCTATGTTCGGCTGGGGACTGAGGCTGGCTGCATGTGGACTCTCAGATTTTGTGGGCGGCCCCCTGAGTCAGCTCTCCCATCACAGGTGACTGCTGGTACCACATCCCCCCTCCCCCCAAACAGAGACTATCACAGGTGTCTGTTGGGCAGACGTCTGTATACGCCCTGGATGAAAATGGCAAGTGGTTTCCGTTCTTGCATGGTGGGCCGGGAGGGTGGGGTTCCCCAAGGGAGGGTAGGGTTCCTGAGGGACAGTGGGCAGGCACCGACTCCATCAGGAGGGGACAGCCTGCCTCTGGGTTTCTTCTTGATATGACTGGAATTGTCCAGGCTTTTCTGAGCCTTGTTTCCCCTGGGGACATGGAGCGCAAGGTGTCAGAGCCAAGCAGTTGGCCTGCATGTCAGTATGCCCTTCCCACGCTGTGATGACCCTGGGGGTAGGACACTGAGCTGCAGCCCAGGTCTGGGCCAGAACGGAACAGGACAGCCCCAAGGTCCCCAACGGAAGACCTTCATACTGCCATGAGAGATGTCCAGCCTGAGGCCAGCCTTGGTGCTAGTCTCCTCCCCAAGTTAACCAGGGTTGGGTGGTCATCGACTCCAGATGGCCAAGACCTAATAGAGCAGAAAGCTGGTCATTGCCACTTCCTGTTGAGGCTGGGTGACAGCATGGCAGAGCTAGCACCAGGAGCATCTTCTAGAAGATTCCATTGAAGTCTGTGACGTGGGAGCCTCACAGGAAACACAGGCTGGCTCTCGCCATCCCTGACCCCTGGTCACCTTAGGCAGGCCTCTGGCTAGTTSCCTTCAAGGTCCCGTCATGGTTACGGGTGAGGAAATGCCAGGAGGAGGCAGAGTGCAGACCTGAGCCCAGATGCTTCTCCAGATCCGGTTCTCCATTCTGTTTGTTTAGAACTCTTTTTTTTTTTTTTAATATTTATTTTTAGTTATGGGCGGACACAACATCTTTCTTTGTATGTGGTGCTGAGGATCGAACCCGGGCCGCACGCGTGCCAGGCGAGCGTGCTATTGCTTGAGCCACATCCCCAGCCCTTGTTTAGAACTCTTTGCCCTCAGTTTCTACCTCAGTAGGGAGAGGTGACAGCCCCAGTGCCACCCAGCACAATGGGACGATTATGAAGCCAAGGAACCCGGGTGTGGGAAGGGCAGAGCTGGACACCGCCCAGGCCCCGCCATGGGTCAGCGAGTGCGGGGTGTGAAGGAACAGTGGGTGCCTCCTCCCCAGGCTCCCTGACCCGCTGCACCCCAGGAGGGGCCCTGACTCTCTGCTTCTCTCTCCAGGGAACCTGTGGTTCCGCGGAGGGATCACACCCAGCTACCCGCAGGGCTCCAGCTGGGATCATGTGTCCAACAACGTGCGCAGAGTGTCCGTGGGGCCCCTGGACCAGGTGGGGAAGGGGGTGGCAGGTACTGGGGTCTCTGGGYTCCCTCCCTGGCCTCCCCACTCCCACCCCAGCTGACCCACTGCAGCTGGGCTGGCTTCACCKGGCCTGTGTTCCAGGTCTGGGTCATCGCCAACAAAGTCCAGGGCAGCCATGGGCTGAGCCGGGGGACAGTGTGTCACCGCACGGGCGTGCAGCCCCRAGAGCCCAAGGGGCAGGGCTGGGACTACGGCATCGGGGTGAGTGTGTGGTCACCCTGCTGTACGCCCTCCTGAGGCGGAGCCATTGAGCTGGCCAGCCCAGCTGGGACCTGACCTAGGGGTGTGGGAAGGCCCCTGGCGGGGCCCCTTGGGGGTCCTGAGGCCTGGCTGATATGGCTTCTCCTCCCAGGGAGGCTGGGACCACATATCTGTCAGGGCCAATGCCACCAAGGCCGTCCGGAGCGTGTCCCAGGAGCAGGAGGCCCACGGCCCTGTCTGCTGCTGAGGCTGCCCAGTCACCTGGAGKCTGGGATGGTGACAGGCTTGAGGATCAGGCTTGAGCCCTTCTGTGCTGAAGAGTGCCCCGAGAGAAGACATCGTCAGGACGACTCAGGAGGGCACCTGGCGGGTCGTGGCCCCTTCAGAGGCGCAGGCTGAAGTGCCAGGGTGTAAAGCCCACACGTGTCCCCCGTCTGCCAGGAGAGCTGTGGCGTGGGGAGGGACCCTGGGCCCCCGCCTGTCCCATCTGCTCCTTGCCCTGCACTGTCCACCTGCCCAGGCCCTGAGCCTGGAGCTCGGAGCTTGCCAGGAACTCTGGCCCCGGGAGCAGAGCCAGGGAGGAACCCTTCTGAGCCAGGTGCCCCAGATGGCATCTGGGCCCTGCCCTGCCCCAAGAGAAATGGCTGCGGGGCTCTGGACCCCCTGCCACAGGCTGTGGTCATTCCTCAGAGCAGGGTTTAGAAGCAGATCTAGTTTGGAAAGTTAAACAGAGGTGGTGAGCTGGAGATGAATGCTCAAGTGGAGGGCCTTCCCCAGGTGAGCTGGGCCTGCTGGGTGCATGGAGATGTGCCCAAGTGCGGTCACCTCAAGAACCTTCCATGGTGAGGGAGGCTCCTCATATGGAGGATCTGGGATCCTGTTGCAGGGTGGCAAGGTAGAGGGGAGCAGTGTCCTGGGCCCCCCAACATTGTGGGAAGCAAGACGGTGCTGTGGGCAGGGTATGGACAGAATCCCCCCAGCTGTCCTGCCCCCAGGGCAGGGAGAAGGYGCCTTCCGCCCTGATGTGAGAGCCCTGCTGTGCCGGGCCAGGAGGAAGTGCTTAGCCAGTGGCCCTTGCCCTGGGTAGCTTCTGTGCTGCTGGCTGCCCTGTACCCCTTAGGCGATGTCTCCAGTCACTTCCTACAGCTGGACACTGCGTGGGAGGTGACCAGAGACATGTCCTGTCCACGCTCCTTCTGAGGTGGCTTGAGTAGCCGGGCTCCTGACTGGCTCCCCGTCTGTCTGTCTGTGGTCAGGAGRGGTCGGCTCTGCAGTCACCTGGGAATCCAGTTTGCTGTGGAGCGTTTGTCACCAGAAGCCGACCTTAGGCATGGTCTTCTTGGGGGGTCCCCTCCCACAGGCACTCGAGGACCTGGTGTTCAGTTTCTGGAGGTGGGACCTGGCGAGCCTGCGTATGGCGCCCAGGGGAACGATGGAGTGGCCCTGGACTGACCCTCCGCTTGTCTCCATGTTAGGCCTGAGTGGGCATCATGGTTTGTTCCCCCCAATGTGACCTGTATGTTTCTGCTGTGACTTGCTGTCTGCAGGTAGTTCTCAGCAAGGCACTGGGTGTCATTCTGCCCCCTCTCCAGAGTGACATGGCCTCTTGCTGCTCAGCACCAACGGTTCACCTGCTCAGCATCACTGTCTTGATCCCTGGGATGCTTTATTCAGTAAAAACTCGCACCACTGTCAACAGCGTGGGATGTTTTATTAAGACATTTGATTAAGATGCACAGTTGCCCGTGCACTCGTGGGCGGGGCCAGAGCATCGTTCGTCCTGAAATATTTTATTTCCATTTTATTAGTACTTTGAAGGGACCATTAGAAAAAAATAAGAGTAATTTTTGGTCATTTAAGAAGCATTTTTCACCACAATGAGGACGGGGGCGCAGGCCGTTCGTTCCAGTTGAGTTTCCCCAGATGGAAACCACTCGCAGTTCTGGCGTCTGCACTGCCCTGGTGGGAGGTGACAGGATCTGCCTGGGAGGAGCTGGGGGAGGGTGGGGAGCTGGTGGCCCAGGGGACCTGGGCTCTGATCAGGTGGGTGGCTCCAACCCACTTGTCCAAGGGCTTGAGAAAACAGCCCTGCAGGATGGAAGAGTCCAGCCTGGGCTTAGGGCCCAGGGCCTGGGTGGAGGGGGACCCAGCAGCTGGCCTGCTGGCTACCAACCTGTTCCCTGACCTCTCCCCAAKATCTGGCATCCTGAAGTGGGACTTGGGCCTCTGAAGATCCTTGGTATGGTCCAGGGGCATACAGATCCCCTGCCACAGGTGAAGAAGGCCTGGCCACCTGGCCCAAGTCAGTCTCTGGGCAGCAGAGGTGCCATCTGAGGGCAGAAAGCGCCAGGAGGCTGTTGTCCTGTAAGGCAGTGACCCAGACCCAGCCTCAGGCGGGGGCTCCTGGACAGAGCTCTGCTGGCACCGTCCCTCCCCCTGCTTTCATGCTTCGATAGTTAGTGCATCCGGCAGGCACCGGGATGGACGGCACCTGCCCTGACCTGGGCGCTGCTGGAACCGAGCTGCTGGTCTGCAGCCCCGAGTCCCCTCAGCTAGAGGAGGCCTCTACCATCTTGTGAGCTGTTGGGCAGGTCCCCCACAGCAGGGAAGGACTGGGCTCTGTCCCAACCTCAGCTCACATGGGTTGATGCCCTGACCACTGACCTTCCACAGTGAGGGGCAGACAGGAAGACCTGGAGGGTCCACCTAGCCCATGGTGAGGGCCAGCTGGGGTATTAAGGCCAGACCAGGCCTACTAGGACTGGCAGGAGGGACACACAATACCAMCAAGCCCAGAGCCATGTCCAGAGGGCCTGACCAGGAGGGTTAGGATTGGGTAGCTAATGCCTATTCCTTGGGGTGCCACATGCTGCCCTTCACATGGCCAGGGCTGACCCCAAATTCACTGGTGCCTTCAACATCTGGTGCTGTGCCCCTCCAGCTTGGGTAGGAGCAAGGCTGCCTCTTGGGAGTGGACTAGCAAAAGTCCATGGCCCAGTGTGGCCCCCACCCACAGCAGCTCAGGAGGGACCTGGCTCCCAGGGTACTCTGGGTCAGCTCCGGGCAGAGGGCCAAGGAAGGGGAGATGCCAGCATGGGTTGACAGCAAAGTGGCCGAGTCCGGCAGAGCCAGTGGGGCAGGAACGCCCCGACAGACGGAAGCAGGGCCAGAGGCGGCGGGGCTGCCAAGCCACCCAGTCCGTGCCATCAGGGAGCAAGCTGTGGGGGAAGGGACGCTCCTGCCACCCCAGGCTCCACCTTGCACAAAACCCCAACGGCCCCGACTCAAAACAGGCCCCGAGAAATCCTCAAGTCCTGGCCCCACATCAGTGACAAAGATGAATAGCAAACTGGGGTGGGGACCCACAGGAGGCCCAGGACAAACTCCCCCTGTGCAGGGGCTTGGGGGCTCCTCTCAGGAATACAACCCSGTCTCCAGCCCAATTCCACTGCCTCCCCAGGAGTCCCCACCCCAGGAGAAGAAGAAGGAAGCTCCTCCCCACCAGCTCCCTTTATCAGAGATCATCTGATTAGGGTGTCCAGAGGCTGAAGAGCCGCCATCTTGGCTCTGCCATATTCCCTGGGAGGCCTTGGGCCCAGGGCCTCAGGTTACCCTAAATGAGAAGGCTGAGGCCAGGCCCTGTAGCCCTACGGCTGAGCTTGGAGGCTCCCTTTCCAGCCTTGGCTTCACCAGTAGCAGGGAAACTTGTAAGTAAACATTTTTCTGGAATCTCCCTGTGCCCAGGAGGGAGTGGCCCACTGGTGGAGAGAGTCCATTTGGGAAGGCGAGGGCCTTTCCACACATGCCTATCCACCTGGCTCAGAGATAAAATGGAGGACCTGGGATGTGCAGAGATGCTTTGGGCTCATGCTGCCCAGGGTCATGGCCCAGACCAGACCACTTGCTTGTCTCTGGACAACTGGAAGAAACGGCTCCAGGCAGTGGCTGAGCTGAGCATTCAGGGAAGATGGATCTGCTGGGGCCACAACCTCGTGAAGTGTCACCAACTGGTCTGGGGCTTGCAGCACGGAGGACCAGGGTTGGGATGGGCAGGCTGGGCCACCGCTGCCGGCCCACCCCCGGACCTGGCTGTTAGGTGCCCTCTCGGAAGCTGTGGATCTGTGTGGAGTACCGCTGCAGGTGGCCCTGGGGCTGGGCCTCCGTGGCTCCAAGCGTGCCCCCAGCCGATTGCTGCTGTTGCTGCTGGTAATGTTGGTAGAGCTTGGGGCCCTGTGCCGGGCCCTGCCCCTCCAGGCCCTGGAGGCGGCCGCTGGACATGGTCAGGATGGTGGTGGTCAGCGACTTGATGTAGTTCTTGGCCAGGGTGAGCGTCTCGATCTTGGAGAGCTTCTTGTCGGCCCGTACATGCGGGATGACCTCGCGCAGGGCCTGGAAGGCGTTGTTGAGCTTGTGCATGCGCTGCCGCTCCCGCTCATTGCTCTCCAGCCGCCGCTGGACACTGCTCTCCCGACGGCTGCTGGGACCCTGCCGGCGGCGCCCACCCTCTGCCCGTGCCCCAGCTCCCCGGGGSGTCCTGCTCCGCAGACCCTTGGTCAGCTCCATCCCTGAGCCCGACTGGGGCCTGTCTGCTGTCTGCTCCTCAGGCGTGGCCTCCGTGTCCTGCAATGATGTCCGGCGCCGGGGTGGCCGATTCTTGGTCTTCATGGCTGCAGACCGGTCGTCTCAAGAGGTGGTGGCTGGGAGGGGGGGGGCCTTGAAACTGAAATCCAGAACACAGGCCATTCTGTGGTCACTCACCATGGCCAGTGGACATTCAGGATGGCCCGTACCATCGGTGTCTTTGCCAATGAAATGGTATCAGTAGCCAGTGGCAGCGCAGCAGTTGGTGCAGGTAAGTGACCCTAGGGTCCTTTCTATTCACATGCTGAGCCCTGAGCTCACGTGGGCCTGGCTRGGGCCTCAAGTGTTCTTCCCAGCCCTTTGCTGCTGCTGCTGCTCATCTGCCTGATCTTACCCCAAACCCCCAAACCTTCCTGTATCTTATGTCCTTTCTCTGAGGGGGTGGATGGCTCACATTGACCAGTGGACCTTATTCTGGTCCCATGCCCCTCACTGTCCCTTGAGTGCCTCCTGAGCTTAGGTGACCTTTGGCCCTTTGCTTAGACCACCCAGAGATATGTCCCCACCCTGGCTTAGGGTGGCTCCTGCAATGCCTCAAGTTTGCCCCAAGGATAGRCACGCCACCTTACATGACACTCAGGGACAATATTGGGACCAGAACTACTGTGGACATAAGGCAGCTGTCACAGGTCAGAGGGTGACCATTACTGCCAGGACCCCACAGCAGACCCCAGTCCCACCACGTGGACAGCACCAGCTGCGTGTACAGGAGCCCGGGATCCCGGGTGGCCACCACCTGGGTTTTCCCCCTCCGCGGCCACCTGGTCCTGCCTCTGGGTCCCCTCCCCGCAAAGCACCCAGACGCCCCAGCCTCCCGGTTACCTGGGGATCCACGGCCGCACACGCCGAGTAGGCTGCCCACGGGGGACAAGGACACGTCGCTTTAGCCGCCCCGGGCGGGGCCGCGGACGCATGTAAATGAACTCGCTGGGCGGGGACGGGGCGGGGCCGCGCGGGGCGCTGGGCACCTGCTGCCGGTGGGCGGCCACGCCCCCGTTCCCCGACCGGTGGCCGCGCAGTGGCGACCAGCACCCCCACCTGCTCGCAGCCCGCYCCCGCCTACCCACCGCCCCGCTGCTCCGGATCAGCGGGAGTCCAGGCTGGCGGCCATTCCCCGGTGGGGAGCCCGAGCCCCTGGGGGCCCGCGGAAGCCCCAGGGCCGCACCTGGCCTCCGGGTTAAGGCTCAGAACACAGAGCCAGCCGTCCTAGGATAATGGAGAATCTTATTAATCTTTAGAATTTTGACACAGGGGTCCCCTAAATTGCTGGGGCTGGCTTGGAACTGGCAATCCTCCTGCCGCTAGTAGAGAATCTTTAAAGGACAGCAGCCACAATCCTTGAGCAAGGGCTAGGGTTCCCTGGCTCCCAGGGCACCCCAAGTTTTGCTGTAAACCCTGCATCCCCCAAGAGCTTGGGGATGCCTGGGTTTCCTTTCCGACGCTGCCCCCCAAACGCCCAGGCTTGGGATGGTGCTATTGGTAGCTCCTGGTGGCCTGTCCTGGTTGGTGGGAAGGGACTGGCAATTTCTGGATTTTGGGCAGACAGCTTGTGCTCAAAACGGACTCTGCCACTCATGGGCTGTGCATCACCATCCCTGGCAGCAGCCTGGCCACCTGCTACAAGGGATTAAAAGATGCTAAAAGCAGCACCTTGCTCAGGARCTGAGAGGCCAAGCCCCAAACCAGCGAGGACTGTGTGTGTGTGGACTGTCATGTGGCTGGCAGCCTCAACTCCACTGGGCGGTGCTGCCATATCTTGGGCACCTCTGAATGGGGACTCATGTCTGTTTCATCTATACACTAAGGGTCTCACCTGGGACGTGAGGTGACTAGTCAGCCTTATGGGCCATAGTTATGGCAGGAGACTGTTGCATACCTCTTAGCCACCTGCACCTGGGGTAAGGGACCAGAGGGATGCCCCTCTCCATGCAGAAAGGCTGGTTTTAAGTGGAGATGAGCCTTGTGGCTAGGGGCTCTTTAAGGCTGGGCCAAGTGAGGACCTCAAGTACAGATGCTCCAAGGCAGATTGGCACCAGGGCACCCTCCCCCGCCCTACTCTTGCATGATGGAAAAAATCACAGAATAAAGGAAACAACAGAGTTTATAAATATATAACTATATTTATTTTGAATATTAAATAGTTTTTAAATTACAAGCAATTTATTGAATCACACTATGCATCAATATACAGTAAAAATCTTACAATTTAAAAATGTACACAATTTAAACTGAAAGTTCATTAACTGTTATATTGCCGTGAACCTCTTCTGACTGTTCAGTACAAAGGCCTGGTAGGTATGATCGCCCCAGGCCTCTATCTGTAGACGAGTCCCATCATTCAGACCCAGCTAAGCCATTCAAGCTGACCTGGACGGGTGTCGGTAATGCAATACTGTCAACACATCTTCAAGAACTTATTTATATGCTAGAGAGTTTTCTTTTTTAACAGCCAAGACTGGCGCCAACCRCACTGCTACTTAGGAATATTGTTTCTGAGATTTCTGTCTGAAGTAACTGTATGCCCATTCTTTTKTTAAGGCTACTCCTCATGAGGTCAATGCTCTGAAGCCCCCCATAACTGAAACCCAACATTTGGAGTATGACACTTGCATTGCATCTGAATTTTTAGGTGACTGACTGAGTAGAGAACTCTGCCAGGCCCCCCGGACAGACATGCAAAGATCATTAACTCTACAAATACCCTATGGGAAATATGAGTGAAAGGAAGAGGTTTTTGAAAGGTGTTTTACGGCAGCAAGACATACAAAGATTTTTTTTCTTAGATAAAACCATCTCTATAGAAACAGTCAGGCCTGAACATTTAAAAATAGAATGGATGATCTGTTTTTAATTCAGCTTTCTTCTTTCGCCCTTAAGATGAATGGCTTCTGACCCAGACACAGGATCTGAGTCTCAGAGGGATCTGGGAGGACTTTCTCTACAGTTCTTTTTCTGCTTATGACAGGGCCGTTTGATAACACAAATCAGCATCTAGCTAGAAGGGGAATGACGGTTAGATTATTCGTATTACATGATTTAAACATACACACTCCACCAAAGTAAGATCTAAATCAAGTCGGACACATCCCGTATGGCTACCCAAAGGAGACCAGGAAATGCCTCAGGTATTAGAAACCTCCCCACTTGGTCTAGAGAATGCTGATGATTTACTTCATTGCATAACTTTTTAGAACAAGTACCATTCATAAAACCCACTACTGGTAACCAACTTATTAGTTAAAAAATAAAAAGAAACAAAGAAACCCAACAACAACCCCCCAACAACCCTGAATTGAACAACAAAGCGCATGCTTGACACTTCAAAATGGGTTGAAGTTTTAATCTATTGAATTAAATTTCTTTGTATTGCTTGAGATTTCAAAAAATCATGTTGACTCACATGTGTATCAGAAATACAGTCTTCCCTTCCATGCAACACCACAGTAAGATCCAACCCACCCCATTCCCAACTCAAGGTATAAAATGCTTTTGGCAATTAATTATGAGAGTGATACAGACCTAAAATTWAAAAATGTGGGAACTATGTTGTTTAAAAAAAAAAATCTTGACATAGTGAAAAAAAGTACAGCCCCCAAATAGCAGTAAATGTATCCTGGGCTAACTACGTAAGAAGGCTATATATTCTATGGATCTGCTTGATTTTTTAGTCACTTAAGTCTGAAYTCCTTAAGCCTATAATTTGAAAAAACGAACATAATCACATCTCATTTATCTCTCAACCAAGACTGGTAGATAGAGGTAAAGAAATCAGAAAACTCAGGAAGTTGCCACAGCAAGAATTCAGTTCTGACATTTTGGCAAAATCACCTTCCAAAGCCCTGCTTCCATGTCCAGACCCAGCACTCRAACCCGGCCGGAGTGCACTATGGTCAGACCACGGTGGGGGCGGGGGGACTCCATTCTGAATTTTCTTGCTTTGGAAAGTTTTATTGCTTAGTAGAAAAAATTTGCAGAGTGAATCGGAATTCACAATAAAGGTCACAATTTACCACCTACATACACTCCAGCCAAGGTCCACATTTGCATTCTGCACGGGGACTGGAGCCAGCTGACGTCCCAGCTCCAGCYGCAGTCTAGAGACTCATTCCAGTGTCTTGCTGGAGTCTGGAAATCAGATCAGCACCCGAAAATATTTGGGGYGAAGGACCAGTGTGAGGGGACCCACCCCAGTAGGATCAGTGCTAGCTCAGCACAGTGCAGCTATGCCACACTAGCCACCGGAGACTTCCTGGTGCCAACACAGAGCTCAAGGATGGTAGGATGAGGGCAGCTTCGGGTCAGGGACGCCTGATTCCTGCCAGCCGGTGATGAAGCCGCACTGCAAATGCTCAGTCCCTTTCAAAACAAGAGGAGAACTTGGTGCTTAATGCAGAAGGAAAAGGCTGTGCAGATGAGCCCCTGGGCCACGCAAGTTGTGACAGTCACACAGGATAACCCTGAGGGCACATGGGCTGCTGGGCTCTGCCGAGGCCCCCTGTTTTCTTCCTGGCAGCCGCAAGGCGCAGTCTATCTCCTGGGTTACAAAGACACCAGCCATGACTTGGAGTGGCTCTGAGGGGGAAATCAGCTTTGGAGATTTCCTTTTTTTCCAGTGCTAGGAATGGAAGCAGGGTCTCGGGCATGCAAGGCAAGTGCTCTGCCACTGAGTTACGCCCTCTCCCTGGAAATTTTTTAAGAGCTTGATTCAACCACACCTGAAGTAGATAGACAAAATTATCCATACGGTGCCCAGCATCCAGWGCCCTCTACTGGGACGCATTGGATGCCAGTGCCTCGGAGGAGGGAGGAGGGACGCGTAGAACCCCTGCAGCCTGGCCCCCATGGAGGAGGGGGAGGGGGTGGTGGCCACACTCTGCCTGCAACTTGCCTGACCTGCTACGGCAGAAACTGGCCTCAGAGAACAGTGACCTGCAGCCAAGTTCCGGGGTGCACCTCCTGTCAATTTTTACCAAAAGGGTTGAAAAAGTGGGCACAGAGTGGGAGCATCCCACAGAGAGGCTGCA